AATTTCAATCATTGTTTCTCATTTGGGTGAAAACTCCTTTCCGATATATAACTCACCATCATTGACCGATGAGTTAAATCTGTAGTTACCAAAATTAGGCATATTCGTAAATTCTGGCCATACATTGCATCTTAGTCAGCTTCATACATGTTTGATGGAGACTAGATGCGTACCGTACTTGTGTGAACTTCATCTATATCATCATCATCGGATTCCATATTGAATAATGATGATTCGAGCTCAATGAATAGTACAATATCAGCATCATCCATACCTGACCTGCGTAGAGGTCCTTCTGGTGGAGATGAAGGTTCCTCCGTGATGATGGTATTTAAGTCAAACAAGCTGGTAGTTGAATGATTTCCCTTTGAACTTGTAGGCATCGTGTCATACATGTTTTGAACTGAGTGTTGTATCGTGTGTATCTCCATATTGAGGTCGAAAAAGCTCGTACTTGAATGTCTCTTCTTGGAAATTGAAGGCATCGTGTCAAAAGGACATTGAACATATTTTTGTGTCGAGGACATATCCATATTCAGGTCAAAGAAATTGGCAGATGAATGCCTTCCCCTTGAACTAGTAGCGATATTTCTATACGGATTGTTCGTGGAGCCACATCGATAGAAATCGTAACAAGTTGCTGATAAATGTCTCCCCATTGAACTTGATAGAATTGTACCAGGATGTGGATTTTCCATTAACGAGGTAAAATCATTACACATTACTTAAGTTGGGCTTTCAACTTGATCAGCTTGTTTAATCAGCTCATAATGAGAGCATAATGACATACCATGAACCACAACACTTCAACAAATGTGGCATACATTTGTGTAACAACGTTTGAATTTTGATTATGAACATCAACCGTCATTGCAACATCATCATCGTTGGAGAGTTCGAACGTTGTATAAGTTAATGAAAATATTGCAATTGAAAATCTATACAGCAGTGATGACAGTCTTCTAGTACTTTCAACATGAATCTTCCTTGAAATTTTAGTGATCAATTCATCAAGAGTGATGTTTCTCTTGAAGGATAAGGTGATAGAATGATTTAATGCGAAGACAACGCCAGCTTCATCTTCCCAAATTTCTCCATCATAGTAAACAATAGTTGAGATACACCTCATTTTGAGAGTTTGAGATTTACAATTTGAAAGTTTCAAAGACTGAGAGTTAGATGGTTTGAGAAGTTTGAAAGATGTAGTAGATGAAATTTTTAGTGTTGATTTTATATCTACAAAAATGAATAAATGGTTATAATATACCATCTTTCTCATAATTAAATAAATATTAAACGAATTAAATATAAACTAATACTAAAAAAATTATCACAATAATTTAAATAACATAATTTCATATTGTTACCGCATTGACCAAATGTCTCGATATATGATCCTCATCCAATTGTAAAACTCTATATTCCATTTTGCAACCGCAAAAAGTAATAAAAAACAATTAGAACAGTAAAATTTGCTAAAATAATTAAATGTTAAGTAAATATAATATAATAAAAAATAGTTTTACCTTCTAAAAAATATAACAAAATCTACTTATCTTGATAGAAATAATTTATAAAATGAAGAATATGTATTTAATTTTGTTGTGGTTTGATATATGCATTCAAGGGGTATTTATAGGGGAAAGGGGATGGGTTAGCCGTGATTTAAGGGATAGATCGGGTAATAATGGAAGAGGCAATAATTGAAGGTAAATAATAGAAGGTTCGCCCCCTGCAACGCGCCTTCCTTGTGTCAGAAATTCCCCACGAATGATCGTCCCCTGCAACACGCCTTCACAATTTCCCTACGAAGGCACATCCCCAAGAATGCGCATTTCCACCATGACGCCAGCTCGAAATGAACCCTAGGAAGGCACAACTTCTGAAATGCGCCTTCAATCCACCTACGCATAACTCATCCCTTGAAACATGATTTATTATCTCTCTGTATAAAAGGGTGCTAGATTGATAATATTTGGAGAAATGGTGCCTGATGGGTAATATTTTATTTTAAGAATGATTTTTCAATAAAAAATGTCTATTAATTATCATAATGATTAAAAAATATAAATAAGTATCATAGGGTAAATTATGTGTTTAGTCCATAAACTATCAATTTTAGTCCATTTTATTACCAAAACTTTCATTTTGTTTAAAATCATACCTAAAATTTAGTTTTCGTTTCATATTAATACTCGTTGTTAACAACTTTATTTGTTTCATTTTGAATACCCTTTCAAAAATTACCGTTAAGTTTTAAAAAATATTTAAAGTTTAGGTAATAAAACTAATCAAAATTGATAGTTTAAGTACTAAACATGTTAGGTTTTTAACGGTGGGATACTAAAATAAAATGAAAACTAAACATTAGATATAGTTTTGAAAAAATTGAAAATTTATATAACGTAAGAGAAATAAATAATAACATCATCTTTGAAGGAAAAAAAATAGGCTTAATTATAAAATAAGTGCCCCAACTATAATGTTTTTCACCATTAGGTGCCTCAATTATTTTTGAATCATCACGGTGCCTAATGTTACAAACATTACCACTTTAAATGTCCAGGTCATAAACGACGTTAATTTCCTCCGATAATAGACACGTGACATGCTGAGGTAATTTTGAAATAATTTTTTAAAAATTCAAATATTTATAAAATAATCATATTTTTTCTAAAATTACAAAAAATCCAAATTCACTAAAATCCTCAAACCCTAACCCTAATTCCACCTCCATTTTGACCACCACCTTCGATACCTTAATTGTCATCTCCGTAGTCAGATGATGATGTGGAGTCATCGTGATCTTCATGATGGTAGTTGTTTCAACGCGTTTGTCTAGGTAGTAGATTTTGTTGCGTTTTCATGATTGTTATGGCGATTGTTTGTTGGGGAACACGTATTCGATGGATACGTGGTTAGGTAAAAGTCTAATCGACAACAATTTTGGCTACGCGCAGAGGCATGCATGTGTATAAGGATTAGATTTAGGGTTTTCTAAGTTTGGGGAGGTTTTCATGATTTTAAAAAACTTTGGGTTTCTCTCTCTCTAAAAATTAGATTTCAAGTTTTTTTTAAAATAAAATTTAAAAATTACATGAGAGTGACATGTGTCACTTAATAGAGGAAATTAGCGCTGTTTATAGTCCGAGCACGTAAAGTGGTATCGTTTGTAACGTTAGATATCAGAAACATTCAAAAAGTAATTTAGATACTTATTCGTAAAAACGATATAGTTCAAACACTTATTTTAAAATTAAACCAACTAGATAAAAGATGATATTAAACAAGGAATAATAAAAATAATTATATAAAAAATTTATCCAGAATAATGATGCGAGTGTTTTTTATAAAAAAAATTAATGGTTAATTTAATTTTACGTTTAAGGGTAAAACGATTTTACTTTGATGAGTATATTTTCCCTCAATAAAACACATACAAATATAAAATGTATTTTTAATAAAACACGATAACAAAAATAAATATACCCTAAAGTTGGAATAATCGTAATATAAAAATAAAATGAGATTATAAGATGAAAGGTTAAAATTTATATCAACATATTCTATTGTACTCTATTTAAAAGCGAATGTCAAGCGTGCCGTCTTCTTCTTTGATTTTTATATAGCGAACGATAATACTCTTTTAAGGATTATTAATTCTCTTGTTTTATTATATTATGTCATTATTTTTTGAGTCTTTTTAGTTTTAAATAAAAATTTATGTATTTGTGACATATTTTTTTACTCTTATGACACTTATTTTCTATGTTACTGTGTACGATCCTTATAGTTCTTAGTACATTTTTCTCATACTTTTGTGATCGTTTTGGTGGTCGTATAAAATTCATTAAGTTATTTATTTTCTATTTGGTTAGTCAATTTTCATGTATAGTCAAATCTCCTCTTTAGTAAAATGTTATTTGTCAATATAATAAGAATTATATAGCAAAAATAATTGTCAAATTGTTTGATCCGCTCATCACTCTTTTATCACTTCGTAAAGCGTATCATTCTATAGCGATAATGAGTTTTTATAAATTTTATTGACTTCTTTTAATGTTGATCGTCATTCTTAATAAAATATTTTTTTTATATTTTTAAATTTAATATTTTATTTTTGTATGAGTATGTTAGTTGCTATTGTTTTTAACTTTTTATATTTTGATACATTGTAATTCTATAACTAAAATCCCACGTGCGACACTCTTAATATATGACTAAGGAAAAGTGTTACCTGTTTTGTTATTATTTTTTTAACAAAACCAATAAAAAATTACCAGAAACATTATTATTTCTATCGGTTTTGTTATTATTGGATGTTTTACCGATTTTGTTAACATATCCGATAAAACGTTTTTTTTTCTGCCAGTTTTGTTATTATTGAACACTTTACTAAAAATATTAAAAAGTATTAATATTTTAGGTAAAAATAATATTTTTTTATCAATATTTTTTAAAATATAATAAAATCAATAATACATTTATTTAACCGTATATTAAACATCTCACACTATAAAAACTTTCCAATCCAATTGCTAATATTAAAAAAAAGAGTTAGTTAGAGCGAACTGTCCATAGTATAATCACACGTATAAAATCAAGCTTTGGTGGGATTTAAGGCAATTTCACTCGAACCAAAATTTAGAAAAAGGCAAGGTAGCGGGTTTCAAGGGAAAAGGCTGGACGGACGACACGTGGCTAATTTATTATCGTTTGATGGGAATGAGAAATGGGGCTGGGCCGCGCTTGATCTTTGGATTTGGAGTTGACATGACATCTGACAGCCAAACGAAGAGAGAAAGACAGTTGTTAGTGAAAAGAAAGAGAATCACAACTGTTTATAGAAACAAAAGCAAGGGAAGCTGCCCTCTTGTCTTGTTTGTATTTACAATTAGAAACCCAATTACTATTCCCTTTCTGTTTCTGGGTTTGTTTGTTCATCCGAGAGAGAGATTAAAGGAAACTGCATGAAATCAGAGGACTGGGGGGAGATGTGTTTAAGGGAAGGGAATTAAATTAGGGTTTTTACAGCAGAAGAAAGAGAAGAAGAGCATGGCGGCGTTGGCAGAGAAGAGCTGTAAATTCTCGGGCTGTTGCTTTGTTTCTTAAATGCCCCCCCCCACTTTTCAATATCGAGAAGGAAAAACAATTAAATTTAAAGTGAGAGGGCCAGGAGATAGCACGAGGGGGGACAGCCTGCTGCAGAGAAAAACAAAACCAAAAACCAAAGAAGTTGTTAAAGAGACGAGAGGATTTATGCAACAAATACACGTGTTGTTGGGGAGATTTTTATGATATGGATTGTCTGTCACAATTGAGTTCCGAAAGAGGTTCAGAGCAGGAGAAATGGCGGGCTTCTTTTCACTAGGAGGAACTACCACTCAACAAGGCAATACGCCGACAGAAATACGACCGGAGAACTGGTTTGGGTACAGAAATGAAGATGTTCCGTACAAAGGTTTCGAACTATGGCAACAACAACAACAGCAGCAGCAACAAGATCCTTATGTGTCGGCAGCTGGGTTAGGTGTCGGTCCTTCGATTAACTTCGCTGATGATTCTTCGTCGAGATCGGGTTTCATGATGACGAGAAGTGGTGGTGGAACTGGAGGTATAAGTTGCCAGGATTGTGGGAATCAAGCTAAAAAGGATTGTCCTCACATGCGGTGTAGAACTTGTTGCAAAAGCCGAGGTTTTGATTGCCAAACTCACGTGAAGAGTACTTGGGTTCCTGCTTCTAAGCGCCGTGAAAGGCAACAACAACTTGCTGCTTGGCAGCAACAGCAACAGCAACAACTTCCAACAGAGAGTCCCAAAAGACATCGAGAGAATCGACCCTCGTCTTCCCATGCTCATCACACTCGTTTACCCACTAACGCGTTAGGTACAGTTTTTCAAACACTGTTTTTTAGTAATCCTGACGAGGTTTTGACAGTTAAAAAACTATTCCCCCCCCCTTTCAATGATATATTTTCCTTCTCCCCCCCTTGGACATTTGTTTTATGATGATAACCCTTTGTTTCCGCGTATAATCATGTTAACAATAAAAAAATAGAAAACCCAAAATTGGTCTACTTTGTATACGTGATATCTGATGAAGGGTTGATATTGTTGTTCTTCTTTTTTAGGGTTAGAACTAGGGAATTTCCCAGCAGAAGTGAACTCTGAAGCCGTGTTTCGGTGCGTGAGAGTGAGTAGCATTGAAGATGCGGACGATCAGTACGCTTATCAGACATCTGTGAACATCGGGGGTCATGTTTTCAAGGGAATTCTTTACAATCAAGGCCCTGAAAGTGGTTACGACATGGTTACACCATCAGCAGCAGCGGCTGCCGAGACTTCTTCTGGTGCTGGGGTGGTTCAACCACTGAATCGAATCACCGGCGGCCCTACCGCAGCGGCCAACACCAACAGGGCTACCATTGTAGCTTCCGCAGGTGGCGGCGGTGCTTCTTCTGCATCGGCGACCGCACTTTTAGACCCTTCCTCTCGCTTTGCAACTCCACTCAACTCTTTCATGGCTGGTACGCAGTTCTTCTCAAATCCAAGATCTTAAAAAAGAAAGGGAAAAACACACACCCCACAATCCTTTTTTTTCTCTTTATTCCACGTCTCGTCTTCTTGTTCGCTTGTTTATCTAATCATGTCACCTTTCATGTCATTGATAATTATGTACTACGAAATTTGACATCCACCATTTGGGATATGGAGTGGTTAAAGAGAGAGAAAGATAGAGGGAAGGAAATGCGGAAGATGTATGTTTTTTTTTCTGGTAGTACAAATTGGAACGCTTTTGGCTCAAATCATCAATATAAATTCTTCTTCTGTTTCTTCTTCTACACATTATTTTCCCACTTGAACCAAATCTCAAAGCTGTTTGTATACGATATGTGCACGACATTGTGGCGTGGCGAGCGAGTATTTATCATTCTTCTTGGTCGAATTTTCGGATTCCCATTGCACTTTCTGGTTGGTTTTGAACTTTGAGGGAGGCTGCTTTTTCCCTGTTTACCCGTATATTGGTTGCTTCCTCGGTTCGACAAATCAACATAAAGACCAAACGTACCTTTTCAGTTCTCAAGGTATGGGCGGTCCAGCCATCAGCCATGCATGAATTGATGAGGATGTCGTTCAAATTCCAAAGGTGAAAACAAAAAAAATCCCATTCTCTTATTGCCTTCATTATCTAATTCCATTTCATCGTCGTCACTGTCAATGTTCTTCATTAGATTCAACATGCATAAGCCCGAATATGAAATATTTCTTGTTATGTGCTCGTTCTTTTATTGCCTTCCTGGAAACTAACCTGTTGATATTTATTGCATACGCGTCGTTTACTCTTGTTCATCTCTATGTAAAGGATATTAATAAATAAAAATATTAGTTTTGGTTCGGTTTTGTGTTTCTTCTCACTTCCCAAAGAGTGATTTAGTGGCCTTGGTTTGACGGATCCATAATAATATTTATAGTATTTGTTTTTGGGATTTGGGAAGGTCTTTTTTTTTTTGTTCTTACATGCTATGTATAAGACAGGTGTATATAGCATGTTTCAATTAATGTGGCACATAACGCCAGCTGCTATGTACTTATTCTCTTTCTTTGTTTTTGGCAGTAATTACCGTTTTAACTATGGTTTAACCTGATAGTTGGGTGTTGGTTCTTTGATTTCTTCCCCCTCCGTTTTTGGTGATTGTTTTCCTATTATGGCTTCAGAAGTGGAAACTTCTTGATCATACAAACTAGTAAAGATTGAAAATTTCAAAATTGACAAGTTATGTATGCTTTCCACCTGAAAGGAAACTGGTGTTGAAGTACAAGGATGGAAAACTATGAGGCAGATTAGTAAAACTGCCATGGTTTCATCAAATATGGTTGAACACTTGAACTTACTTGACCTTATTTTCAAGCCTCATGAAGCCATGATCTGCACAGTTAAACGCAAAGCAAAGGATTAGGTCATTTTTTGTTTTATATTCATCGTACTGATACATTAACTGCTTCTTGTTGATTCTCTTGGAGATTTGAGATTAAATGAGCAGCTCAGTCTCCACTTGCATTGTTGTTTCTTGATTTTGAAGTATGCTTGGATATGTTCAATATAGCAGGAAATCTTTGCTTTCTAACTGGACGTATATGTTTATGCGCAGGCTATGTGTACTCTTTTAATGCATCGATCCGATTTTTGCATTTTGTATGGGCATGCATGAGTACTCGAACTAGTTTTCTTGAAAATGTAGTGGAAATTTGGTGGCTCCGTTTGTCTGGATTGTTGGGAACTAAGAAACAAGCAAAACCCCAATAATTGACCTTTTTATTGCATGTCGGGACTGAATTGAATGGATTGTTATGATGAAGGGAACAAGGTGGCTGCCATATTAAAACATTGTTTCATTTACGTCTCTTACGTTTATTAATGAATCCATTGAAAACATGTTAGGCTTTAGGGTTGAAGGGGACGTATTTGGATTTCTTTGTTGATTACAAGGGAAAGTATCAATATTTGAAAGGAGAAATGTATGATACACGTACTGTTTTCTGCAACTGCATTAAGCTGGAATATTCCCAGAGCTGATACTTGATTGAATGATGGGAATTTTCCCACTATCCGACTGGTACAAAACTAAATACTCGGTTCGAGTCGTATCAACTATTCTTTCCTTGAAAAGACCTCACAACAAATGAAACTTGTACCCCTTTCCCAACACAAAAGAAAATGTGCAACTTTACCTGTGAGTTTTTGTTGTGTCTGAGAACTTTCACTTTTTCTCGGATTCTCATGTTGAGAAGGCAAAGAGGAATAATATTTTTCTAAGTTTGTTGGATATAATATCAAGCTCTCACTCACTCTGGTGGATTATCCCCTCAACATTCTCTTTGTGCAGCCGTCGTCAATTCACTGAATGATGGAATAACTAAAGAATAATGGGAATGGATATATTCACCATAAGATATGATCCATCATGTGCCATTTTTCTGACTTAGTTTATGAATTTACTTGCTTTTAGAAAAACGAGATGGTTCAACCTTTTTGTTGGTTTTACTTGATGGTCCTGACGTCGAGTTGGCCTCAGCAAACTGTACTCCACAGACGCGAGAGAAGAAGAGCATAAAACTGAGAGCCACGTTGGCCGTTTGTGATTTGGAGGCAAGTGAAAGAAAGTGGGCAGAGAATTAGAACACCAATGATTAAGCACATCAAACAGTCCCTGCTAGAATTGAAGGCCCTAAAAAAAGACCAAAAATGTCATTTAAAACCACTGGGATTTGTTATGACACATCGAGGGCACATAAATCTTGTGCAGAAAAGAGGGTTGAGATCATACGGGGGGTGTTTGTATTGCACGTGGTCCCGAAACTTGGCTTTACAGCCATTATGTCGCTCAACTTGGAGTCTGCCAAAGAAAAAATAGTAAAGAAAACAGATGCACTTACAGTGCTTCGGAGATTTGCTGGCAAAGGCAAAAACAAAAGGGTGGTGGTGTTGTGCTGCAAGTTGGTCCAGGTTTATAAAACAAGAGGGTATTTGCACGATTAGAGAAGAGGTTCGGATAATGTCTGCTAATGCTTTTATAAAAAAAAAAGGGAAGAGCTTTTAAAAAAGTGGCCTCAAGTCTGCCTGTGGGTGTTGGGAACGACAGACACTTGTTTTAATAGGAAGATGTTTGCCTCTTCTGTGGGCCAAATATCAAAACTCCTTTTGCCCTTTGTCACAGGAGACTGAGCTATACAGGGAGTGGGAGGGGTTCTTGCCACTTTCAAATTTTTTTTGTTTAATATCATTTTAGGTCCTTATCAGTTTAAATTTAAGTGAAATTAGACTTTTGTACCCTTTATTTATAGAGATTTCAGATTTTCAGGACGTACAAATATACTTTCCAATACTCCTCCGATTCATCCTTGTTTGCATAAATCAGTTGATAGCGGACCTCATCACTGACCCGAGGAGGCAAGCATAATTGGGTTTTGTTTTGTGAGGTTTGACCCATAAGAAACACAAATATTTGTCGAGTATAAAATAGTTCACTAATTATTCAGCATTATTTTAAAATTGAATTTTCACCCTATTAATTTTGCATAATTTCAATATCGAAAAAACCATTTAATTTATTATGGAAATAAGTAAATAAAGGAAAATTTTAAACTCAATTACATCAAGTTGTAGAATTGAATATCAAAATTTGGAGAGTTAAACATAGACCGAATTCAGGCACAAGAGACTGAAATAGGTCAATACGAAAATTTTGGGTCTAACGATAGTCGATAACGACGATGAACGTGGTGTCTAGCCTAAAAGATTAATAAAAAGGTCAAGTCAGCACACATATAAACGACCGAGTAATTAAAAAAAGCAATTCAAAAGCCCAATGATTAAATTGAAAACATTTAAAATTTAGTGATCAAAATAGGATTAATAAGAAAGCTGAGCGATGTTTTGTTGAATTTACCCTTGTTTTGTTAAAGAACTTTATATGAACAGACTTTTTTGCGACGTTGGGTTTACGATGTGTTTTTAGATTGTTTGCATTTTGGTGTAAAGATGTTAGGTATAAGTCTTTCGTAAAAATAATTAGTATTTTTTTTGATTCCATTAATACGAGTTAGATACGTTTCTGGTTGGTCCACTTTTTCGAGTTTTTTTAAGTCCCTTGATTATTAAAAGTTATAAAATAATTCTCTGACTATAAAATGTTGCTTTATTGAGTCTCTCGACTATTAAAAGTTACAAAAGGTCACCCGACTATTTATTATGTCTCAAACTCGTCATTTTCTGTTAAAAATTGATGGTATTTTGAGCTGAACGTTAACATGTTGACTGTGATATGATAAAATTTGATCTTAGAATCTCAAACGACTATTATATCTCAATCATCATGTTAACGTCCAGCTTAGACAACTACTAATTTTGTAATGGAAAAGGTTGAATTTGGAACATAATGAATAGTCGAAACTTTTAATAGTCGAGGGACATAATAAAACAACATTATATAATCAGAGGATCATTTTGTAACTTTTTATAGTCGGGGGACTTAATAAAACAAAACCCTGTAGTCTGGGACTATTTGTGTACTTTATTCATAATATTAATGATAATAATTAATGTAGGCGAGGTTTAGTCCCAAGTCTCAAACCTCAATAGGCCAACACTAAAGATGCCATAGATTCAACGCATGCGTATCCCATTAGGTTTTAGATCACCGCCCATCTACTGCTCAAGGAACAAATGAAAACGGTGGCACATGCATCCTCATTATCGTTGAGCAACAATACAAATAATGAAAAAAGAAGCAAAGATTTTATTGTGAATTGTAAGGGGGAGACAGTACTATAAAGGACCAAACATTTTGTTACGAAGCTGGTTGTCGTCCCAAACTAAGATTTTCTGAAGCCCAGCATGAGGAGCATTAATCCCAAGTAGTCGAACCCGTAAGCTAATTTGATGAACATAAGCTTGAAGTTGGTCCATGGAGGATACCTTGGTTCAAGTTCAGGGTAGAAGGCTCTATGTAACACAGATTTCTCATGGCTGAAAGTGTCGAATGAATACTTCCCATGGTACCTCCCAAATCCACTTTGTCCCACCCCTCCAAATGGCAGTGAATCGCATAGAAACTGCTCACACACATTGTTAACAATTAACATGTCATTAAGTAACAATTTGATTATTGCACCATACGTTCTCAAACTATAGATCAATAACATACTAATGGAGTCATCAAAGTACTAGTATAGCAATATATCATCCTATCTATCATAGCTTGGACGTTATATGTTAATTCAATATGTGGATCAGATCGAACCCATCAAGGGTTTTAGTACTAAAAGAGAATGTTGTTCTTCTTAGAGGTTCGCGTTCAAATAGATGTGTTTGTTGAGTGTGCGTGCATTGTCAATTGGTTAATTTTTTTTGAACATATACTACCTTGTAATTACCCAGACTATTAAGAAAATATGTAGATTATAAACACACATATATTTATTGTATTAACGACAATGGTGAGTCCAGAAATATTTTTCAGGGTGGGCACACATATGTCAACAACATAAATTTTTTAAATGGGATGGTTACAAATAAAATTTCAGGGTGGGCACAATCCATAAAATAAGTAACTAATCGAAGAAAACTCAAATTTCAGGACCAAGTTGTGGCTCCACCACTGATTAACGGTTTGATCTAACATGCTTAAAAACCCTACGTTGCCTACTTTATTTAACATTTCATATCTAAGTTGTCCATGTGATAAGTATACACATATAAAAAGATTGAATAATACAATATTGATACTCTGATGAATCAATTAGAATGTTTCTGAAGTTTAGGATCAATTTAGAGCTTGGGTGATAGTTTGGGGACTTTTGGTGCAATATAGACATTAGAAATTTGAAGAGAGGGTGAGTAAATGGTACCTGAATCATGGCATCATTGAACGTGACAGATCCTGAAGAAGTGTCTGATAAAATTCGTTTTTTGAAGGTTTCGTCCTCAGTAAAAGCATAAATAACAAGAGGGTTTGGCTTGGAGTTGATGAATTCGATGCTTTCTTCAATGTTTTTCACCTATATGACAATGGTGACTTTCCTCAGAACAAACATTCTGCAGGATTAAAATTAACAGGAAAACTAAAGTTGGGAATCCCTCACTGTAATTATTGGAAGCAATGGGCCGAAGATTTCTTCATTCATGATCTCAGAATCAAGCGGTGGATCTAATAAGATTGTTGGCTCAATAACACTGTAAAAAAGTGATGAAATCACATGAGATAAGAATAAGTGCTTTGAAATCGCAACGAGCTAAATGATTATCTTAACAAAAAATGAAGAGTTCAAGAAGAAACTACAGTTGTTCTTCATCCACTGAACCACCATAAACAACTGAGGCTGCAACATGGGGATCTTTCATGAGATTAACCAATCTTTGAAACTGGTTCTTGTTAACAATTCTGGAGATGCTGTTCAACTCTTTGAGGTTACCACCATAAAACCTCTGGATACACTTCTTCAATAACTCAATCTGAAACCGAAAAAGAGAATCCATGAATTCAAATTGAAATTACAGTCCCCAGTTCCATTAAAAATTCCATAGTTAGTACCAGAGTAGAAGCTGATTTCTCTTCCACAAGCACATAATCTATTGCAATGCAAGCTTGTCCAGTGCAAGGCCCCCACTTCGCCCCTACAATTCTTTTAGCCGTCACCTTGATACCACAAACCAAAGTACATGCATCAAGCCATTGATCCTCTTAATCTATACATATATAAGGCTTTAAATGATACATATAATGAGTCAAAGAAAAACCTTTGCTTTTGAAGGGTTGGAAAGAGTATTATGCACAATGGCAGGGCATTTGCCACCAAGCTCCAAAGTAACCGGAGTCAAATGTTTTGCAGCTGCAGTCATCACCAAGCGACCAACTCGTGGACTTCCTACAGATCAAACAAAAACAGAAACTTGTTGATTCCGATAGTCGGATACATCGGGATGTTTCTAAAGTGGAGAAAAGTTATTACCGGTGAAGAATATTTTGTCCCATCTCAGCTCAAGTAGTCGTTCACCTACATCTGCTCCACCGCCAATGACCTTAATGGCTTTGTTGTCCAAGTATTGAGGAATGGCTTGAATGAGAAAAGACATGCATGCGGGTGCCAGTTCTGATGGTTTTAGCAGCACCGTGTTCCCGGCCGATATTGCGCCGATCAATGGATCCAATGCCAACGCTGTAGCAAGAACAATATATATAAGTTCGTCCCCTAACATAAAATCCTACCTACATCCCTGAACGAGGGACCTGGCATTTCATCTTCCACATGACGTGCAACATTAAAACTTAAAAATCATCAACATTCTGCCCAATTTTTGTCTAAAACAACACTCACTGATTGGGAAATTCCAAGCTGAGAAAATGAGAACTACACCGAGAGGTTCAGGTATCACTTCTGCTTTTGAAGGAAATAAAAGCAACGGTAAATCACCCTGGACCCCCATAAACAAAGACAAGAATTGGCTGTAAGAGTAATGGGAAAAAGAAAAGAAAAGAAGAAAGATGAGAGGATTGATTCAGAATTGCAATAAAACCTTCTTAGGTGCTACCCATTTGTCGAGGCAGCTCAAACTATAGGTGGCTGACTTCTTTACAATCCCTAACTGCATGGAATAAAATCAAAATCAAAATCATATATATATATATTATATATATATATATATATGTTGCTCATCATCACCTCATCTCTGTATGATTCAACTGGACTCTTTCCCAGATCCTGATCCAAAGCTTTGAAAATGGAGTCCTCGTTTTCATTTACGAGGTCAAGGAAAGCCTTGAGCTGTTTCTTCCTCCATGAAACACTTTTAGTTCTCCCGCTTTTGAAAGTTTCCCTTAGCTCGGCTATGCTTTTCTCCATTGGCGCACGATTAAGCTTTCTCCTTTGGTTTTGCTAGTTTAAAGTCGAAGCCTATATAAAAAAAAAAGCCGAGAGTGGATTGTATATTCAGTTGGTTATCTGTATCCACCATTAATTAAAGCTCATTAATGCAGTGCAACTACCGTAACTGTGAAAAACAAGTTGGGATTTCTCTGTAGGGACCAAACAATGGGCGTGAACGACAAATGTTGCCCCGTTTCTCTCGTCTGTTATCGCCTTGTATGCCCTCTTTCCGTAGTTACGTAACGGCACGGCTTAATACCAAAATAAGTGCCCAAATTATACCATTTTTTTCAAATAGGTGACTAAATTATTTTTTGACTCATCCAGATGTCTAAAGTTATAAACGTTACCCATTTAGGTATCCAGGCCGTAAACAATATTAATTTTCCCGTTAAATGACACGAGTCACACTCTAGTAAATTTAAAATTTAAAAAATAAAATTATTATATATATATATATATTTATTTTTTTTTTAAAAAGAAAACACAAATTTTGAAATAAACCCAAAACTTCGAAAACCTTCATTTCAACCTCTAAACCTAAGCCGACCGTCGCCTTTTGCCATCAACGAAGCTCCACCATACCTCCCCTCTCCCCGGCGACCAAACCCCCTATAAAATCGTGACCGATCAACGATAAATAAACTTTTTATACTCTGCGAACCCTAAGTTGAAAATCGCGATTCCGACGGCCAATCGACGACAAATACGATGGCTTATGATTAGGAGGATGATAGCGGTTATGTCGGCGGTGGCGAGTAAAGGTTAGGATTTTGGGTTTTTAGGGATTTGGGGGCTATTTTATAATTTAAGAGAAATTAGGTTTTTTTTAAATAATAATAATAATAATATTTTTAATATTTTTTTTAAAATTCAAAATCACCAGATTGTGACACGTGTCACTTAACGATAGAAACTAATGCCGTTGGCGGCACAAACACTTAAATGAGTAACATTTGTAACGTTAGCCACTTGAATGAATCAAAAAATAATTTAGACATCTATTTGAAAAAAAATGATATAATTTAGACACTTATTTTAGTATTAAGCCTAATGACAAACCATATCTTTTTGGTTGGGGTTAGCTTATTATTAAATTTTATTCTTTTCATACAATGGCCGATATTTCTTTTTCTTTTAAATGTACAATATAATGATATCAAAAAATATTTTTTAAAAATAAAAAAAATATATTTTTCTAGAATCAAACTGGCCTTAAATATTTTTCAAAAAAAAGAAAGAAAAGGAAATGCTTAATATTGAAGAGTTTGAATACACGAATCAAACTTTCCAATGATTAAGAGATTATTATTATCCTTGAGGTCTCGAATTTAAGCACATCATACGTTACGTTAGAGACATGAGTGTTCATTATTAAATGATCAAAAATTTGAACATATACTAACTTGTATTTGTCCCATATTTATAAAAACACATTTAAGCATTTATTATCCTTTGATCTAAATCGTTACGAGCCTTGGCCTCTGTAAATAATAGTATTTAAGTTTTATTCTCTTTGGATTTTATAAAATTTTAAATTAATATGATAATAAAAATATATTTTGACCTTCAAAAAGTTTAACTCAACATCGCTCCCATAATTTTTTTCTTCACCCTCGCATGATAATGACTTAGTGGGGATATATGTCAAAGGCATATTGTAAAAAAACTAGTTGACCCTATTTCCATATGTAATAGGGTAAGGGGGAGTTAAGGTAGTAGGTTGCCCCCAACGCCAGGTTGAGAGTAACTTCCGTAGAAGACCTCCTGCAGTCAAAATTATAAATTGCCTACTGTCGTCCCACGATCACAAGGATAATAGTCTTGCACTCTACCAACTGAGTTGGACGGGCAATTCATCAAAGGCATATTGTGGTACTCGTTAAAGCTTTGAAAATCATGTGCACATGGTTCATGTAAATATATTATCAAGTCTGAACTGTACTAACAGCATCTTCTATTGCTTGTCGAACAACTTCTGTTCATTATTCATTAGCATGGATTGGGAAAAGAATTAATGAGGCTGACTCTTATCTTTTTTACACCGAAACTCAATTTAAGATGGGATTTAAATTTCAAAGAAAAACATTTTGAGATGAACTTTAAAAGAAATATTATTGATGCGAACAAGTACGAACTTTAAGCATTAATCCTTATATATATATTGATTGCACGAATCGAGTGATTTCAGTGGTAAAAGAATCGTTGTTATTCTTTTACCAGTATGCCAAACTCATTTTCTTTCAATTAAGTTCTCCACATTAAAAAAAACATGAGAATTGATTTATAGAGTTAAGTAATTAAAATATGCAAAAGTAGAGCATAATTTTTATCGAACGATTGAAGCCGCGTGGGAGTACATAAATGGATAAGATATTTACAACACAAATAGAAAGGAGGTAAACAAAAATCCATATTTAGGGTTACTAAAGAGCTTTGAGATACCACGATTGAGATCCAGATTTTTTTTTTAATTATAAATCTAATCCTAATCTTATTTAGAAGGAGAAGGGAGGGAAACGAGGACTTTAAGAGAAGAAAATGGAGTGCTTTTAGTGGATTTAGAATTCATGACCTAAAAGAATATGAGACAACAAATATGAACAATTTGACCAACCGACCAAATGCGCTTTCTCATTGAGATATAAAACATAATTGATCGAAGTGAAGATATAAAGCTCTATTCATTTATGTAAAGGGTAAATTATGTCACTAGGCTGTTAAAGCCCAAACGGTGTGGTAAATGGACAAAACAACATTATTTTGGTGATGCTATTGATTCCTAAATCGGTATTATAGACATTAAACTTTTGGGATGTATAGATTTTGTCACTAAACTTTCGAACAATTCAATTTTTGGCATAGTAGTTTTTTCAACCATCAATCACCACCCATCGCCAGTCGCCTTTCGCAACAAGATCAGTACTAAAACATTTGTAATTTACTCGACTTTCTTCTCGTAAGATTGATTTTCTATAATACTCACTCAAAATCGATGAAATTAAACAAAAATCTATCATTTTTATGAGTTAAGAGACTTTCTTAGATTTGAGAGATTTAGAATGTTTGTTTAAAAATTCGAATGGTGAGAAGAATTATTTCAAGAAACTGAACAACATATCTAAAAACTAACCTCATATGACAGTCATCGAAAGATATCAAAGAATTAACACATCAAACTTTTAAATTAATTTTCGTTGATTTTGAGTGGGTTTCATGGAAACTCAATCCTAGGAGAAGAAAGAGAAGTGAAATATAAATGCTTTGTTACCGATCTTTTCGTGAAAGATGATTGGTGATGGGCGATGATTTGTCAACTGGAAAAGTAAAGTTTCCAAAACTAAATTGTTTAAAATTTTAGTAGCAAAATCGACACACCTATAAGTTTAATGTCTAAAACGACGTCATTTTAGGCATCAATAGTCATCGCCAAAATGACATCATTTTATCCATGTCATCACAATGACAAAAAGAGCTATCCATGTCATTGTGTCGTTAAGATTTAATGGTCATTGACATAACTGAAGTCGAAATCAAAGTTCAATTCTATAATTAAAGAAATTGAAAGTTCAATGGTATAAACGATATACCACATAAAGTAAATACTTATTTTAGACAATAAGCCTTTTGGAATTAGGTTTCTTGGTGACCAAGTATTTGACTCAATAAATATGAAGTATGTCTTAACCTTTAGAATTATAAGAAAATTATTTTAAAGAGATGCAATTATTTTTTAGGCTCTATAATTTTTTAAGTTTTAGTTGTAGAGATGATTTTGTAAGGATGTTGAAAGAGTCTTTTGAGATATAAATGGAATATCACATGTTTGTACTCCTTGTGATATCTACGTTTATAGTAGATTATATGTTTCTCTCATCCGTAGAGGTAGACAAGATCGATCAATGTTAAATATTCTCTCTTCCGCTGGTTTTATTTCTCTGTTGATATCACTTTTTTTATTTTTCGCTTATAAATTCTGAACAAGTGGGATCATAATTATTGTATGAGTTGTGAAGTTTTGAATGAATTTATTGATGCATGTTTTGTTATATATTTTGGAGAAATGCAAAAGAAATTTTACTATAACGAATTTTCATTTGTAGGGAGTGTAATTCTCAATAGATCTAACAATGCTACAACATATATTATGTAAGAATTAAAGTTGTTGAAGATTAACAACAATGCTTCAATGGATTTGTAACTTACATAAGAAATGAAGTTGTTGAAGATTTGAAGACTGGTGTACAAATAGAGTTTGTGTCAATGGGGAGATTGTTAGACGTTGACTCAAATTTTAATTGATAATTAATTTAGATTTTATTGTATTTCTAGTGATTAGAGATTTCTTGATAATTAAGTTTATTTAATAAGTAAATACTTATTTTAGACAAGAAGTCTTTTGAAATTAGTTTTCTTGGTGACTAAGTATTGGACTATATAAATATATATATATATATTAAGTCTTAACCTTTAGAATTATAAGATAATCATTTTATAGAGATACAATCATTTTTGTAGTCTTTGTAATTTGTTGGATTTCAATTGTAGAGATGATTTTATAGGGATATTGAGAAAAAATGTTATAAAATCATTTCTTTAAGAGGAAAAAAAGTAAATATTAAGTCAAAAAATATTATATTATTATAATTATATTATATTATATTATATTATTATATTATATTATTTAATATATATATTATATTAATTATATTATATTTATATTATATTATATTATATTATATTATATTATATTATATTATATTATATTATATTATATTATATATATTATATTATATTATATATTATATTATATATTATATTATATTATATTATATTATATTATATTATATTATATTATATTATATTATATTATATATATTATATTTATTATATTATATTATATTATTTATATTATATATTATATATATTATATTATATTATATATTATTATATTATTTATATTATATTATATTATATATATTATAAAGGATTACATAAAATTGATTTTTTGATTTTTTTTATCGTGGGATCA